AAAGTTAATTTTGTACTAATAATGAAATCTAACTTTTAATGCTGTTCCCCAGTTCCTATAATTATATTTGTTGAAATTTTAATACTCGTCGTAAAAAAATAAAGTTGGAAGAAGTTTGACTCCGTACGACGAGATGAGCGGGCTATTTAATTTCCAAATTTACAGTTTTTGATGTCATTTTCAACTTGTCTCAAGGAACCAGCCAAGAAAAGATTAGAATAATTTGAGGAAATAAGTATAAATAAAGTGCAGCCAAAAATATGTATAATTTAATAGGCTGTATAAGGAAGTCATTTCGTGTCCACATCAGATTTTTTTTATTTCAGAAAAACAACATTTTACAGTACTTTAAAATTACCATTACATTGATTGTCACATGAATGCTACGAACTTCTTTGAGTGAGGGCATGTAACTTCGAATGTTTCCTTGCTTATAAGATTATCTCTGGAGTTTAAAAAATTTGCTGTGTATAAAGTGAAGCTTCGTAATATATGTAATGTACTGGCATATAGGAACGTTTCTCCGCAAATCTCATGAATGTTTGCAATCCTTCTTCAGCTCCCTCTCACTTAAATTTCTTAGTCTTAATGTCGTCTTCTTCTACATCTCTTTCTCCCCATCCTCATCATCTTTCTCTTCCCTGTGTCCCATTATATAGTCGTCATTTTGAATGTAACGGAAACAGAATTTTCTACTTCACCTAAATGACCCTCACTTCTTCTTTACTATTCTTAAGTTTTTCAAAACTAAAGTCAAAATTATGGTTAAGTATCAAGTGATTGCGTTTGACGATTTGTGTATTTCTTTTTTTCAAACAAGGATTTAAGACTTCCATCTCGAAGTTCTTTCACTTTGGTATATATGCCAAACCACTTTAGCAAAGTAGGCTGTAAATTACTCTAGAATTAAAATCAGACATGGGATTTTTAAGAATTTAGCAACAGATTTTATTGAGGACGGAGAAAATGACTACTAAAAAATTGGACTTGTAGAGAATCAGAGAAATTTTCTATGTGCTAGAAAGAAGAATTAACATGATGACAATGGCCAGCAAAATGTCTGATAATGAAAATAATTTTTTTTAAAGGTTTCATCAATAACCGTGTAAGAAAGTCTCTCTCAATAGCTAACAATTTAAATAAATAAGTTTCTGAGAAAGTAAATTTCCTGAAAAGCAAACTGGAGATTACATTATGCGAAAGAAGAAATAACAAGGTATTTAAACAGAAGAAGGTAATATATGAAATATATTGAAAAACGCTGTGTAATATATATATAAACGGAAGGAGGTAAGATACAGGAAATTAGAAAGAAGGAGGTAGTATGTAACTCAGAAAATGAATCTATGCTGCAGTATTCTCACCCCTATTTGCACCACTCCTGAATCATATGACAGTTTTTCGTTTCTTTAAAAAAAATTCTGTTTATCCATTTCTTGCATAAATAAAAAAAAACTTTTATGGCTTTCAAACTGAATGAAAAAGCATTTTTTTATTTGTATGTAATCATATGAACATTCTTTAACATGCAGTAAAATATGCTAAGATTTGAAGCAATGCTTTGAGAGAGATTATCATTTTTGACTAGTCATGGAATTTTTCTGTTGGGAGATTATACCTTAAGTCTTTTTCTTACCGGTTTTCAACCAGAAATTATCCGAAAGACTTCGGATAATTTCTGGTTGAAAACCATGAAACCTAAATGTCAAAGACATCATTACATAAATCTAGCTAATAAATTCTGTGTAAATAGGGTTATTCGTAAGCGAATTTTAAAAGAACTGTGTTGCTAAAATGTATGCAAAAGTTTTCTCCTAATTTCCGTGTAAAGACGAGAAAAAAATTACGATGAGAATTATTGTTAGCTGCACAGATTGTATATTATGCTTACATGTAGGTATGAATAACTCATAGACATATAAGCACATTATTGTAGATGACAATACAGTGCTTTTATGTCTATTAGTTATCCATAGGCTGTCTTGGAATCAGACATCCTTTCCGGGAGTTTACTACAGATACCCGTGTTCCTTATTCAAGATTTCATTTAGAAATTTAATGGTTTAAAGAATAAACTGCTATATGATGCTAATACAGAATAAAAAATATTTTTCTTGTTTTTATTTAAAAGGTAGCTTAAAGTTTCTAGTACTAGTTTAAAGTACTAAATGTACATGCTTTATATACGTTTACTTTATATACGCTTACTTCTAGCTACATCTGATATTATTTGCAAACCACGCTTGAGACTTGTTATGTTGTGTGACTATGTTTTGAACTTTACTGATAAACCATACTAAAATTTAAAAGAGGGACTAATTATCTAATTTTTTAGGGACAGCTAAAAACTGAACTCATTTCAGATTTTGTTTCGTTACATTGTGATGCCTTTTTTCAATATAAACACTCACTGAAACTTGTTTTATAAAATATAATTGTTCATGTTAGATACTAAAAATTCAAAAATATATATTCAAAATAACAATGAAAGTAAATATAATGCTATTAAAATTGAGCGTTTGCAACAGATAAATCTAAAATTCCTTAAAAGCTTTATTTCTCTATTTGAACTTAGTATTAAGATAAATATTTAATCAAGTTTGATAAATTTGTGGCAATAAGAACAAATCTATTACACTTACATAACCTGTATCTTTTATTATAAATATTTTTTCACTATACCTTTCTTTCTGTTATATGGCTGATAATTGCAAAATAAAATCATTATTTAAAAAAAAAAAAAATCTTTCAATGTACAGCTGCAAAACGTTATACAACAAAATAAAAAGAAAATTACTTTTCTGTAAAACTCGCACGAATAGTATTTAAAATTCTTTAATATTATACATCCTTTATGGAAATTTTACTGTATTTCTCATAAATTGTTATATACGGTGTGTTACATTTGTCACTGGTTTTAAAAATTGCCAACTCGAATTTATATGTTGATCATAAATCTTGACCTACAATTGAAAATTTTACCCTAAATCTTGTACGAACTTTTATGTTAATTAGTCAGTTATTATCATTTAAGTATTTACTATAATTTCTTCTTTACGTATTCCTCACCAGAATGCAAATGAAATGTGTGTATTTAAGTCGGGGGTTTTGAATGTTTAGATCCGAGCTTTCTGGTAGCAGCGTCTTTCCGTTATTTACTGTAGACACTTCTGCTTAAAATTATATTCCAGCGTTAGTGTCTTGCTAGCCAATGCTTTGAAATACGCTCCGATTCTTGAGCTAGTTGAAATAATCTATTTTATGCGTATTCTTAGATTACGTCATCTACGTTTGAAATTAACCGTCTTTTATATTAATTTAAATACGTGTAAGTAGTGGAAGTTTCGTCTGTAGTACAAGCTGTGTCTATTTGTTCAACTTAAGACTAAATAAAAAGGTTATTTTAAACTTCTTCAGTAACTTGTGACTTGTCAAGACTAAGCGATAACTCGCTGTCAGGTAAATAAAGTCTGAAAGAGGCTTCCGGTTATAAAAGAATCCTACAACATTTTTCTGTCCCTCCAGACAAAATGATGCCCCCCACTCTAAGAAAATATTTCTTTTTTACTCTTACGTGTATCATCCTGTTTAAATTTGTTCTTCAGAATACCTTTTTTCTCAGAATCTCAGTTGTTGAAAAAAAAAAAAAAAAAAAAACTTCTGCTATTAGAAATAATACGAACTATCTCTCCATCTTAATATTCTCTTTTGTTTTAAGTTGCGAAATTGTTTGGGTTCTCCACAAGTCCATTATTAAGATCAATTACTTCTCTGTCGATAAATTCGTATTTCAGTTTTTAAAGGTCCTATTTCTTATTTTAATTCCTATGGAATTTGTAACATTTCCTGTAAAAGCTGTTTTATATATAATGGTGTAGTTAAAAGTGCACTGAAATTTAGCTTCAAAGAACGCAAACTTTTGTTTAGAAAGGAAAATAGTCGATTGCTAATAACGTTTGAGCACTGAATTATAATTTTAATTTTAGTTCCGGGAAAATTATTTTTAAAGCTTCTTCAGTTGGTGACTTGGATTTCCCTGAATGCTTTTACATTCACAAAACTTTTTTCTTCTTTATTTGTAAAGTTAATGTTATTAATTCGTATTCATTTCTTTCTCACTTCAAAATTCTAGAATTTCAACTTCTTCCGATTTTATTATTAATTTCCCCTATAGATCACTCTAGTTCGTTTTGTCATTGCTCCATTCATTGCTCTCCATTATAGACCCTTTCAAGCCTTCCATTCCAGCCAAAAGTCTTTTACTCCGGAAATAGATGGATCTATGTCTGATCTTTCTCCAAATCGACTTTAAAATGTACGTTAACATAAGACTGCTTTTCTGCCATATTTTAAAATGTATACTGTGTCTAGCGCCGAGTAAAGAAAAATAAATGTAATACTTGTTCATAAGCCTTTCCCTTAACGACATTTATCGACAAATTATGTAAAACTTTTACTAATAAATTGCTGCATATATTCTTTCAAATATACATGTTATTAAATATACATGTTATTTTCAAATATACATGTTATCTGCTAAAGAAGTTGTCGGCTAAAGGTAAATGTTTTGTCTACTAAGTATCACGGATCTCTTGTTGTTTCTTTCTCAAAGCCGATCAGTTAATAAGTGCTTCATAAACTGAGTGGCTTTAAAACCAGGAACGAATTTCTTAATAATTCAAATCCTTCTATATGCTTTTTTATAATATACTTAATGGAGATAAATTAAAATGCAAATGCATTTGGATTAAGTTAAATGTAGTTAATTAAAATACATTTTTTTCGATTATGTCATAAAATAAATACACTGAATTTATAACATAATCAAACACATGACTTTTAAGTGTTGCCATTATTTTGTAAAAGATATTTCTAACACTGTATGCTATGTACATAGATGCAGAATCTTCTTTTTCTACTTTTTTCCTTAAATAAAGCTGAATATTTTAAGCATATTTTAAACTGAGACTTACACGACAATAAAAAACATGATACAAGAGGATTTTTTAAATATGTCTTTTAATGGGCAATGGAGAAATTCCGCTACAGATAATTTTCACATTTAATTTTATGTACAAAATCTTCGAAATAGTATGACATATTTCAAATTATATATTCACCTTTGATTCTATCTTACGAGAAAATACATAACAATCAGTTCATGATTTTGTTTTCATACAGACGTGGAGGACCAGATTTTCAAAACATGTTATAATTACATCTCTGTACATCCATGTTGTAATCATTCTGAAAGACAGGAAAAGAAGGAAGCAAATATGTAGATTAATTTATATTTCTTTCTGTATAAATTTGGCACGGGAGTTTTTATTATCTCCGAAGAAAATTTAAAGTTAGTCTTAGATGGATTTACTGGAGCACTCAAACAGGACTCAGAAGAACAGAATGACTGAAAATTAGCATGGTTACATACTTGAATAGAAAGTCATTATTCGAAATAATTCCTTGTACGGCAATGAAGCTTTCCCAATGTCCTGGAAGCAATTTTATCCTCTCTTTTAACAAAGTGGTTGGGTTCATATCTACGCTCAAATATCTCTGATAACACTGGAGGCTAAATCTGTATTATAACAGAGACTTGGCAGCATGTCCTACCAACCTACATTATTCTCCAGGTTTCTGCGAAGCCTGGTCGAAATTCTGGAACCTGAGATATTTTCCTCCAGGAAAGACTTGACGAATAATTCTTTGTTTTACAGACCCAGATACAGCTTGTTTAATTATTATTCTCATCGCTGCCACACGTGATTGACAAGAGAAAGCTCATATTGCACTGAAGGCAGCACGTAATTGCTAGAGTATTCGCAGTCATTTAATATGCAGCAACAATAAGGGCGTGAAAAATCCATCACTCTGTGTCATATTTGAATGCTCTATAATGAAACAAACTGGAGACTGCATCTTCAAAGTTCTCCTCTGGAACTGCTAGAACTCCGTTCTTGTTCCTCCGCGTCGTCTTCATCAGCACCTTTCTGCCTGCTGCTCCCATTGCGACGCTTTGCGCTAAATGAGTCTTGGGCAGTTTTGTCCGAATCCTTCCATGTTCTTTCAAATACTTCTGTGTCATCTTCTCGTTGGATTGTTCTGGAATCTTCGACTGAAGCATCTGAATGGATTGGGTTCTCTTCTTCATCCCTGCCTTCCATTGGCTGATCTGGAGTCACATTTGGAAGATTATCAGTAGCGATAGAATTCTCATTCTGACTTTCCTCTTTCTCTGATTCTTCTGCCTTCTGATTCTGTTCTTCTGACTCTGTGGTGGTAGCCTCTATAACATCTGAAACTTGATTGTCAGGCTGGGAATTTACTGCATTTTCGTCATGATCATCCAGATGTTCGCTTCCAGCTGACGCGGTTACATTTCCTTCATCTTGCTCTGAATACGCTTTAATTTCTGTTTCGCTTTCGGCATCAGGCTTAGGAAGTAGCTTCTTGTCATTGAGATTTCCGTCTTCTTGATCTTTAGAGTTTTCTTTGACTCTCTCATCATCGTTCTCGCAAACGTCGAGAGACTTTTCAGAAGGAGATGGTGATCTACATTCTGAATTTTTCTCTCTATTTGCTTCTGAAATAACTTCTTCAGCAACAGAATTCGATTCATCTTTTTCCTCAACTTCATGACTTTTATATGCCGATTCATCTTTCTCTTCTAGTTCATCATTTTCCCTTTCCGAATCATCTTGTGCGTCTAATTCCTGATTTTTATCTGCTGATTCATCTTTGACTTTTAGTTCATGATTTCCCTCCCCTGAATTTTCTTTTCCCTCAAGTTCATGAAATTTTTCTCCAGATTCTTCTTGTACTTTAAGCTCTTGACATTTTTCGTTCGGTGCATATTCTTCCTCATAACTTTTTCCTGCATAATCATCTTGTTCCTCATGATCATATCTTCTTTCTTCGTCTTCCTCTTGTCCTGCAAGATTATGACTTTTTTCTTCTGATTCATCTTTTTTCTCAATTTCATGACTCTTTTCGCCATTATTATTTTCACTGTTTTCTGATGTACATGTGATATTTTCTTCCACATCTAAATTATTGTTAGAAGAATTTATGAGTTTTTCAGACAAATCCTGCTCTTGTTCAAGAACTTCACCTTCAAGATTCTTTTCATTGATTTCTTCGTCATGTTGTTCTCTTCCCTCGGCGAAACTTCCATTTTCATGTACAGCAGGATTTTCTCTTTCATTTTCTGGAGAGGCATTTTCCTGTTCGGTTAATTTTTCAGTTGTATCGTTATCTTCATCAAGAACATCACTTTTAACAACAGATGTTGTTGAAACATCAGTATCAGTCTCATGGCTTTGATTTACTTCTTCTACACTTTTTTCACGATCTTCCTCTATTCTTTCATGTTCTTTTTCCACATCTATATCACTAATTTTTGGAGGTGGCATTCCCTCATTTTCGGTTCGTTGAATCACTTGTTCTGACTCGTCACTTTCAGCAACAGGCACATTTCCAGACTGCTCATTATCCCCTGAAGCATGATCTTCGCTTTTCTCGGCGTAATCTTCACTGTTCATTTGCATTTTTTGCTCTTTTGCTGCATCGGATTCATCGTTTATTAATGAAACAGTGTCAGAGTCTTTAATTGGAATTTCTTGTTCCGAAACTGGGTCTTCATCAACACCTCTTGGCGGTTCTTGCTTATCGGTGGCTAATTCTGTCATTTCTTCAGGTTCATTTATGGTGACATCCGTGTTATCAACTCCTCCCTCTAACTTTTCCTTTCCTTCTAAGGTTGGATTTTCGGTTGGTTGAGATTCACTTTTCTCCTCAGAGGGAATGGAATCCTTTCGTTTTCCGGGTGTCGATTCACTATTGGAGGAAGCATTCACTTCAGATTCTCCATTTTCTTCGTTTGTCTGTTTGTTATCGTTTTCAAGAGATATATCCTCATTTTCTTGGTTTTCTGAAGGTTCCTGTTCAACAGGCATCTTTTCTTGACCAGAAGGCCCACTTTGGTCTGCACAAGAAATTTGACTGTCTTCATACGATTCTTGATTTGCCATATTCTCTTTAGCAGAAGCAGAACTTTCATCCCCTTCAATTTCTTGACGCATTTCATCCATTTCCGATTCTTCATTACTGTTTTTATTATCATTTTCCTCTTGGTCTGAATTTTGTACTTGATCTGCACTGCAGGTCTGCTTCATTTCAGTCTCCTCTGCTGGGTCATCGGATTTAATGGACTGATCATCTTTTACGACATCAGGAATGATTTCAGAACCGCTGGCAGTTTCATTATCTACTTTCCTCTCTTCTTCATTCGTGTCTTCTTCTTTCGATGTCTTTCCATTTTCTGACGTTTCACTTTTCTCATCTAACTGGATTTCCTCATTGATCGCAGCTTCCTGTTTTAATTCTTCCGAACTGACAGCAATTTCTTCAGGCACTTCATGAATTTGCTTATTATTGTTATGAATTCCTACAACAATTTCATCTTTCGTACTGTCTGTAACGCTTTCTTTCGAACTTTCTTTATCAGATTCCTCGGAATGTAAATTTTCATCAGTTGCCGACTGCTTTGTCGATTTGTTTTCCAACAATGCAATATCATCGTCAATGTTATTTTTACTATGTACATCCTTTTCACCAGTTTCTGATTCTACTGCATTTGGAATGTGATCGTTAGTTTCTTCAACGTTATTTGATTTTTCAACACTATTTGTTTCCTTATTCAACTCAAGATTGTCTATAGATTGACTTTGTAGACATCCTTCGTTAGTCACACTCTTGAAATCTTGTAAGAAGTGTCTTAATTCATCTTCCAGTTTATTCTCTGTCGTAGATATTAAGCCAATTCTGTCTCGTAATGACGACTGGAGAAGAAGATTCAGTTCTTGCGTTTCACCCTTTGTTTCATCGCTAATAAAACTGACATATCCTAATTTTAAAATTTTTTCTACATTTCTAACATCAAGTAACTCGAAGGGAAATTTATAAATGAAGAATCCCTTTGAATAGGACACTTCATCTTGTTTCAAAACATTTTGTAACAAGCGAAGTCCTTCAATTGAGTTTGAAGTTTTATCGTCAAGAACAAGTTGGCAATAATCGATGAAGCACATTCCCAGTTCGTTGGCTATGAAATCGCGGATTTTTTCTTCATAAGTTAAGTTCAGATTTTCGAGGGCACACAGTAATGGAATTCGTTGGGTAGGTAACTCGTCATCTACCGTTACTTCTTGTTTATCTTCTGCAGTTTCTTCGGGTTTCTGGTCATTTGTGTCATCAATAATTGGAGAAGTATGTTCCATTTTGACGATTTCCTTTCGGTCATCTTCTTCTAGAAGTTTGGAATCAGTAGAATATTCCATTTCAGATCTTGCTTTGGTTTCGTCACTTTCGCTCTCATCGAAAGACTTCTCTGCATTGGCTCCTTGAAGCATATCGTCATCGTTCGCTATATCACCCTCTTTCTCGTTTCCTTCAAGACTGGGCACAGTTTTTACTTTATAACTTTCTGTTTGCATGGAAGCCAGATCTTCCTCAGTTGCATCTCTGATCTCTACAGTAGAAGGCCTTCCTCTTGGAGGATTTCCCGCTTCATCATCGTCCCAGAATCCTTCCGTGTTTTTTCTCGTTTCAATTACCCTATCCACCGAGAGAACAAGGTCTTCGATAATATCCTCCATATCCTGGTCGCCCATCACCACAGTCAGAAGATCTTTATTGTCGTAGTATTCGGCGACGGATATGATATCCTGCTTGTAGCGTTCTAATTCCAACTCCACGTCTGCAGTATTAGACATTTCATGCTTGAGGAAGCGGCGAAGTGCATCTTCTTCGAAGTCGACAAGAACAACTCCGTCCATGCGCACTCCTCGGCTGCGATACTCTTCGATGTCTCCGCGATTCCTGGGAAATCCGGCCACTGAAAGAAAAACAGAAATGTGTAGTAGAGTGAACAATATTTTGGCTTATTGCATAGAATGGACAGTTAAAGTTAGTTGCAAAATGGATAACAGTTATAAGTATACAAAAATTTGCTAAAATTTTCTAAAACAATTTGATTGCATTGCAAATTACTTGCCATTTGCAGGCCCGAGGAATGCATGCCCCCTCTGAGCTCCTTTACTGTAGCCTGCGGTAAGATTAACAAATATTATTCTGATTATCGAACACGGATTGCGTAAATATTACCACGCGTCCTTTTGATAGCGTACTGAAGAAAGATGCAGAGACGTACAGCATACCTGCAAGTTCCTGGTACGGTGCAGTTAAAAACTGTTTTTGATGAACTTGCTTTTTTTGGGGGGGGGCAAGAGTATGTACAAAGTTCTCATTAATACGTATTATATTTTAAGAACATAAATATTTTGCTGAAAAGTACATTCAAAGGGGCATAAATTCCATAATACTGATAACTTGCATTTGAAATCTAAATTGTTCTATAAGTAATGATTTGATTTGATTGCAGACAAAATTACTATAATTAATGTAAAGTAAATATTATTAATACTTTGAAATAATAGTTGTAGAATTATTAGGTTTCTCGAAGCACGAAATGTGAATTCGAATTCCGGACCTCCCGACTGCAAACCGGATGTGCTTCGAGTTGCACCACGAAGAGACGCGATAAGAAGGGACACCCTAGATAAAAAGATATGTAATTTGATATATCAGCCATCATTTGATCATCTTAAAGTGGCCGTTATGTGTAAAGAATTTCATTCTCTTTGTTGAAAGAAACCAGACCCTTGTGCGTGAGAGCTCAGCGTCTCATTTTAAGTGTAGAAGCAGTGCTAACTGGATAGCAACATCATACAGAAAAATGGCCTGAATTTTAAAAAGAGGTTCACGTATGCTGTAAGAAATTAAAGGCATTTCCTGTCATGTACTCTTTCTTGTATAGCGATTAGCATATCTAGCTGGTTACTGAAAGACTCGAGCTATGGCCAAAGTTAATTTTAACTGAATTCTCGTTCTCGAATTCGAAATATAGAATACAGTAGAACGTAGTAGAATGTGACAGTTGTGTAGAATTCATCGCCACCTGAATAACGCCACCTAGGTGTCTTTTCCAGTCGACCTAAAGGTACGGTGGAGTGTTTGCTTACTGTTTTATTTGCTTAATGAAACTCAGCAATGTGCAGAGAAGGATGCTTCCGCGGAGAACTTTCTAAGGGAAATCAGCTTTTATTAAAGTTATACTTTATTATTAGATAAAGAAATCGCATGACTATTCAAGATGCATTTTGTTCCTCAAGATCGTTGATGCCTGCAAGAATATTTCCTGTAAATGAGGTTGCAAAAATTCCTATTTTGCCACGACTTGAAATTTGCGTTGTGTCAACATGGCACCCTTCTTCGAGGTTTTAAAAATAATTCATTGGCTAATTTTTTCAAAAAGGAACATTTTGTTTTATGGAGGGTAAAGCATTTAGTTTTAACTGTGCAACATCTATTGAATTAAAATGCTATAAAACAGAAAATTATCTCTCATTTGCACTATATCAAATATAAATTTGGCCCATAGAAAATACACAACCCAATTATCCAGACTTTCTGCTGTATCCAGATGTGTTACGATTACAGTTAATCCAAATATCCAGATTCTGTTGTACGTGGAATAGCTTGAATGCCTATTTAACTTTCACATATATATTCCCTTTAATTTCTTGTCTTCCGTAGAACAGTTACTCAACGTTTTTAGCATAATCATTGCGTGTCAACAGATTTCATGAAACTACAAATCCATTTTCTTCGGCTATGTGACTAATACTACCCTCTCCTGTCACACTGCAGCGTCGGAAGGCAATCTGATTTGAGCTCCACCCAGTTCTGCCGACTAAGCACTAGTTGACTGGTACCTTTTCCTGCAAATTAAGGCTTTCATGCAACTCCTTTACCCCAGAAAAGTTTAATGTTTTGACACTGTAGGCGTCCTTAATAGTCTTTCCAACTTTTGGAAATGAGAATGTAACATAATCCTACCACGTATTTATCATCTACGCAATTTCAGAAGCATTACAGCTGCGCGAAATAGAAAGTCTTTATTTTCCACACTTCTTTGTCGTTAGCGGTCTTCAGTACATTGCGATTTGAAGTTATATAAGCTCTTTGATTTTAATCATTTAAGATCTTTAAACTGGAAGGAATTGGTACTCTGCGAGAAAAGCGTGCTTTCAGTCTTTTCCGTGCAATGTGAGCCTGATAATTTGCATTTTATTAGCAAACTGCTGGTTTTATATTTTCTCAATCTGAGTTTGCGAGTGCTTCATAGCAACGGGGTTTTTTTTAAAGCCTGAAAAGGCTTACACATTTCTATGAATTCCTACGAAATCGTTCTCCAAATACGGTTTCGCGTTGTTTCACTTTTCAACAGAAGATAAGTAACGTTCATCATGTTACTCTAAATGCATACATACCTATTAAACTATAAAATATTTCTCTATTCCACTTGGACCATGTCCATTGATAATCTCTACTGCTAAACTATATTAAACTTTAAGCAAGCTGTTTTGTCGATAGTTGAAAGCTGAACCTTTCAGATTTTATTTTTAGTCCAAAGGGGCAATTTGCCGGGAAGGGCTATTAATTTCGTTCTGCTTCGTCCTCTATAAAACGGCGTGTCACTTTTCTACTTGTTAACACAAAATATTAGAGCCCTTCGTTATATTTAAGGAAATTAAATAATGAAGGATAGACATAAATGCATGTATGTGTCTCGCATTGTAAAAAAACAACGGTATCTAGAGACTTCAAATTTTGAATAACTTAGTCCTTCACTCGAATATGGGCGTATGAAAGTCCAAATTTGGAATCTGTAATTTGTTTTATTATGTATTTCATATTTTGTGAAACTTTAACGAACTTTTTATTAACAAACTCAACGATTTCAAAGCGAGTAATGGCAACGCTGTACGAAAAAAAAAAAAAAAAACTATTTTCATCACGCAGGACTGCCTAATGGAAATTCTAAAGATATGCTGTTTTTAAATATTTTGTGATATTGCTGTAGAACTGAATTTTATGGTTTAAGTGCGAAACACAAAAAGTTAAAAAAAAAGCCCTTTTGGGCGTAATATAAAATCTGAAAGCTTTCAGAGTTTTTTATTCTTTAAAATTTAATTTAATGATAATTAATAGATAAATTTAATTTAATCTATTATTTTCTGTTTCATTGAGTTGTTCTTTGTGAATACTAATACAAGTATATACACGTTATTTCTTTACATATTTCTGATTTAATTTTGTAATAATATATTAATATATGTAATAATATATTTTATATGTTTTTTTTTATTTTCCTGTTTACGCCATTTCACTTTGCAAAAAGAAAGGTTAGAATCAAATGCTAGAAATTTGAAAGCTAGAATCCTATTCGAGTTGGGTTTTAGTATTATTCGACAGTAGGTTTATTTGTATTTAAGAACTGGCATTTATTTAGGAATACACTTTTCTTTTATTTCAGAGGAGACGCGGAATAAATGTATAGTTTTATATTCTTTTTTAATTAATAATATTCTTAATGGTAAAACGTTCTCTTATTAACCAACAAAATTCCTGGAAATATCGGTTGCCTATTTGGAGAAAGAAAAGTTTCAGTTTAATAACTTTTAAATTATAGGAATACAGTAGAATTTATGAATAAAGAAAAATTTAGAATAAAATTAATAGAAAAATTAGTACGCAGAATGAGAAAAATAACACATATATTATCTTTAACCTTTCAGGCACTTACCATAATATAATATAGACATTTTAAAAATTATTTACCGTAACATAGAACAAGATATTTCATTACGTAACTTCTTTGTTTCAGAAAAAAAAAAAAAAAAAAAAAAAAGGGTTAATAAATTATATATTTCAATAGTTAAAGAACTTAGATACTAAAACTTGTGCGTTTTAAATCTATCATTATGCTTAGTAATTTTTATTATCACCAAAGGATCTGTTATTACCAAATCTCATTTTTTTGCCCGTATCTTTTTATGTTCGTACAACTTTTCAAATATACAGAGTGGTTGAAAACTATATGTTAAAAATGTAAAGACATTATTACAAGACAAAGAAAAGGATATTCGCAAGCATATATCTTTACGTCATTTTCTTGCCAGGTTAAATTTTGCAAACTAGAGTATAAGTTTTTTTCCCATATGAACCCAAAAGTGCTAAACTAAATTTGATTTATTTTAATTCTTTCAGATTTATTAGCGTGAAACCACAGCGAATTTTCTATATTATCTGCATTTACTGACAGCGCAACATATCGGAATTTAGGCCCCTCCTTTCGCGTTTGCTGGAGACACTTTTACTGTAATACAGGAGGGGATATATCCTTTTGTTGTTTATTATTTCTTGAAAACAAATCTTATAAAATGAATGTTTTTTAAAATGTAAAACAGATTATTTTTTTAGTCCAAAGGAGCAATTTTCCCTGAAGGACTATTAATTTCGTTTTGGCATTTTGCCTCGATTCACGATAAGCGTTGTTTCAATTTTCAAACTGTTGCCACCAAATATTATCGCCCTGTATTTAAAGAAATTAAATAATGAAGAATCTGCATAAATGTATGTATATTTCTCGCATTGTGATAAAACAACGGTACCTAGAGCCGTCAAAATTTGAATAATGTAAACTTCCATAGAATATGGACATGTGGAAGCCCTAATTTGAATTTGAAATTTGTTTTATTACCGAATTTATATTTTGTAACGCTTTAAAGAACGAATTTTTGATTAACAAACTACACGATTTCAAAGCGAGCAATGGCAACACTGTATGAAAAAAAATTATCTTCAGCGCGCGAGATTCTGTATGGAAAATTCTGAAGATATGCTCATTTTAAAATTATTTTGCGATATTGCCGTTGAACTGAATTTTATGGTTTAAATGCAAAGAACATGATATTTAATAAATAAAGGTAC